CTTGCAATCACAAGAGGTGCCCTCTTAGTACAACAGCCTACAAGATGCCAATACCAACTGCTTCACAGGAGAATGCAAAATCCAACACAATGGATAGCTATGAGTATAAACTGGCTTCAAAGCAGGTTTCTTCTAGATTAATATTATCTGAAGTCATCAGCTTTGGGTCCAAAAGTTCCTGCAGACTTTTCTGCAGGTCTTATCAGTGTAGATTTGCTTTCAGAAGGTACTTAGAAATGTGTTTAAATGGGATGAAAGAGGTTTAGGCATCCTGCTTGCTTGATTTGGGCCATAAGTCTGAGTATTCCCATAAATAGCATCAAAGGCAAGTTCAGAAGTACCAGGAAAGAAATGCCAGCATCCTAGGTACCTTTCTTCTGTCCAGCTTTTCCATTGCAGAAAGTATTAGGCTCCTCATTTGAAAGGTTTGCGTGGCACGGAAGTTTATATGGTCAACTCTGACAAAGGCTTATTATTCATAGCAAAATGAAAGCTCGCTTTGTGTTGCTTCACCAGGATACGACGGAGCTGCACTTTCAGCAGTCAGAACCAATGGGAAGTGATAAACTGCAATTCCTTCTTCAGTGAGGCAAACCCCTCAGCAATTGCAATGTAACAGGGGTGAAGAGGGCTTAGCTCAGCTTTGTCTCTGGTTTCATTGAGTTTGCCAGGGAGAGGACACCAGATTGAGTCAGCTGAGCGCTCATCCTGTGCAATATGTCCATTGCCATGAGCTGTAACAATAATCCATTATTTATACATTTATGACTATGTAACACACAGCAGGCCATTCGTAAGTGCATTATTATACCAGGGATGTATACTGAAAAGTCAGGGAGATAACTTGGGAAACGACAGAAGAAACTGCTCCCATGCAGTTACACTGCTGTCGCTTTAGTTTTTAACTGTAATTTAAACTACTTTTGGCTGTGTACAGGCGTTCTGAGGAGCCTTTTCTGCCTTGCTTTCCTCCATGCTTACTCACTGCAAATTTGCAAAGGGTGTAAAACTAAGTAGTAGTGATGACAATCACACCAAAAGCTAATTTGGCTAATGATGCATGTGTAATCCTCTGCAGTGCTTTTTGTTGCACGCTTTGGGCCAGGAAGATGTTATTTGAGGCAACAAATACTGCCTATACGAAACAGCAGAGGCTGCTCAGGTCCTGCTGCACTTAAGCAACGTTACATGGGGTTTATTTAGACAGGAGCATGAAACAGAGAGGGAACATAACCTGAATGCACAATTTGAATATTGTACTAGCTGATCTTTGCATATAGCAAGTAACGTAGGAAAGAGTGTTCTGTTTGAGAAGGTAGATGTTAAAATACTCTCCTCTTAAAATATATATATATTTTTTTGGATGTTTGAGAAAGTATTTTGACAATTGTAGTCTTATCTCAAATTAGATTTTTCAGGTGTCAAGAATCTCAGAAGAAACCTTATTTTCTTGTAGCATTTTGATTTCTCACAGGAGTAGCGTGTTGAGTAGTCTCATGTCGATACGGCTCATTGCAGGGAAAGAAAAAGATGTTCCTTTCTCATTTTTAATCAAGATTTTAAGAATACAAAACAATTGCTGCTTCACCTTCACTCCATTGCTGCTCATTAATGTGTATTTAATGTCACTTCAGTGTTTTGTCCCAGAAGAGTATTAACCTTGATCTATCTAAAGCACATGCAAGTCTTTCCCTTGCCTTCACTGTGAGCTTCATCAGATCCCAGTAGGTTAATTAGGGTACAGGAGGCAAATAGTTCCCAGATTTTCCCCTCTCTTCCCAATTAAGGAATAAAAAGCTTGAAATTGCTCATCCAGTATTTTCATAAACTGCAACTTTAGGGTTGGGCTAGAAAAACAGAAGAACCAAAGTGCAGAATCCTATTGTAGCAGAGGAGCAGGCGACAGGATGATGCGCAGCACCAGAAGGTCAAAACCAGTGTTTAAAATAGTTCAGGTTTGATCCCACCAGGCTTGAGCTCTGCCCTGGGATACCTTAATGCAGATGCCACAGCTAAAGCTTCATGTATTTCCCTTACACTTAGTGCAGTGGCAGTGACAGCCAAATACTTAAATCCTCTGATTTAAGTATCCAAGAGCCAGGCTGTCTGTGAGGGTATATTGACACTGCCTACTCAAATCAACAGAGCTTTGCTGCTTTATACAAACTGAGGATCCAGGCCATAACTTCATAAAAACCATAGCTCCTTTTCCACTCAGTCAGAAGCCAGCTGATGGTAGGAGCCTCCTCCTCTCCTTTGGTGTTAGCTTCCAGTGCCAACCTGACTATGAAAGTGGCTGTTTACCAGAATTCTGCAGGAATTAGGGCAAAGCAAGCTGTAACTGTGCAAACCAGAGGTTAGAAGGGATGCTAAAGCACTATTTCCAAGCATATTCAATTCAGTCTGCAGGCCTGAGCCCCCCAGGTAGCAATAGCTCAGGGATGTGGGTGCCATCGTCTTCATTAATGTGCATCTCTTGGATACACAGTCAGAGGATGGGGAGGTGGTCGGGTACAGCACTGTGACAAAGAGCCTCGTCACTTAGCTCCTGCGCACTGCACTGGATGCGAGGGGGTGTAAACTTCTCCCTCTGGGTCGCGTGGGTCCTTACAGACTCCTGATCCATGATCCAGAGCCCAGGGAAACAAAGAGGAAGATTTCACACTATTCCCTCAAGCGTGGGATGAAGCTGTGCAAAGGCTGCTCCCCTGCCACTGACTGAATGAGGGCTTTGAAGGCTCATAGGCAGGGTTGAGCCCTTCCAGTTCTGATTTAAGAAATGCATGCATAAGCAAGGTGAGATTTAGTGCCTGGTTATATTCATATTCATTTCAAAGAGAGATGCTCGAGTTAAGCTGTAGCTGACTAACCCCCATTTAAACCCGGAGCTGGAAGTTAGCTTGCACTGCTTCACAACTTAAAATGGACTGAAAGGTTTAGAAAGGAAGCCTTAATATGTTTATTTTGTCCTTTGTTTTTTTAAAAGGCCTAAGCATAGAGGGAATTATTTGAACATCAAAGCTATACATGAAATTATAGTGGCAGCAGACGTGCTTGAAACAGTGAATGACCGAACAACACCAAAGCAGTTGATGTAATTGGCTGCATACACTCTAAATTACTCTACTTACTTCTCACCACTTCCTCACACACTTGTTCCCTGGGGAACATTCATGACCCGTGCATTCTTCATAACAAAATTACTTCCCATTCAGACGTATTTTCTGCCGTTTCTCTCTGTGGACATCTCTTCAAACTTGATGTTATCAATGGATACTTCTTTTTTCCTCCATTTTAAACCTGATGTCTCATTCTGTTTCCTATGTTTTTGTAAGTGTGAGCAGATTGTATTTATTTGAGAAATAATGTTTGCTGTTTCAAAAGACAATAATTGTATTGCCAAAAACCGCTGGAATTACCTGTGACATCCGTACTTTTTTATTTTGGGGGAAGGGGTTGGTTGTTTTTAAATCTCAGTTTCGAGTGCTAACAACTGTTACAACAACCACTGCATTTTGATTCGCTTATGACATTAAATGGATTTCTCTGAAGTCGGACACAAGTGTCTCATAGGTGGTTTAACAAAGATGCCGACCTTGCTCTTCTATTTGAATGTGCCTCCCAAGCCTGTTGGATTTTGGCAGAGTGAATATTCCTTCAATGGAGGGTACCTCAGAGCCCTATTTTCAGCGGCTCCAGCAGGACGTGGGTAGGAAAAACACCCGTGCTGGGTGTACAACTAGAGAACAGCTATACTGGAACTTAGCAACAAAACAAGAGCCAGGGCTGCTCCTCAGTTTGGGTTGCAATGCTGCCCTCACCACATGCCACGTCGGGATGCCCGCCTGCATGGGTGTAAGCCTCGGAAACATCAAGGAGAAAGGGGAGTTTGAGCTGGATTACACTTCCTCACCCCTGAGGATGAAGTTCATTTATTCGTCGGCAGATGGCACAAAACCATCTCAAGTCTGGTTTTCCCTCTGGGTTAGGAGGGGCGACTTCAGCGCTGCTGCTGCTGCTTGAGGGCTGCTTTCCCCTTTGCTGTCAGGTTTAGATGTGTGGAACTGGAAGCACAGCTTTTAAACCGAAGCAGTGCTCACCTTTACAACACATATCTTCTTTTGCGGTATGAGCTTTATAAATCCAGCAGGAGTTTCATCAGCCAGGGAGACTTCCCTTTCAAACCAAGGGTGCACATTAAATTTTATGGCCTACGGCTCTGTTTTCCCATTAAACTGATGATATTATCATTAACATAAAAGCCATAGCTATTATCAATAGCTAATAGAATTAGAGGATCTGCCAAAACCTTTTTGGAAATCAGCTACACATGGCTACATCATGAAACAAGGCTCTGCCCACAGCACACTCGGATAAACCCTGTGATGTTACTGGACATTAAACACCAAAAGACACAAAAAGCTTTGCTATGTCCCTATAGTCAGGCCTGCAAGGGGACACGGGAAACCAGGTTCTGGCCGAGGTCCTCTGGGACCTCCCTGATGCAGTCATCCCTCTTCCCTTCATTCCATGGAGAGCCACAAACCACACACAGATGATTATCTGCCCTTCCTTATCTGTTTTGCCAGGGTCCCTGCAATCAGAGCAAAGCAAACCTCCCCTGTATGTGGCAGTACAAGGTGCAGAGCAGCACACAAGTCTTTTCCAAGGGATTTAAACTGCACAGGCAGGTCTTCAAGCAATCACTGCACAACAGCAGTGTCCTTCAATTAATCTCTGCCATCCTCAGAATTAAACCCTGCACACAGTGCACCTATAGGCCCATGTTTCTCTTAACCTTTATCTGCTTCCCCTACATGTACATCTCTCTCCCTGTTCACTGTATGGGTGTTAAGCAAGGGAGAGCTGGAGGGGGTGCAGTGTGAAGTGCCCCCAGTGCTGTCACCCACCCGTTTCATTTTAGTGATCTGTGAGCTCACCAAGTTCTCAGCAGTCACCAACACATAGGAAACGTGGGATGGGGGAGAGGAGAGTGGAACAGCAGAGAGAAGGACAGGAGGCAGAGACCCCAGCAGCGATGAAGTCATGGTAAATCTGCTCCCCCCATGCTGAAAAGGGACCTGCTGCACACTGCAGCCCCGGCAGAGAGAGGAAGTCAGCCCACACCACAGCATGACTTTCACCAGCGTGCTGCACATCATAGCTCTGTTCCTGATGCGAGGTAAGCGATATGCATCGTCTTAGCCCATCTCCCCTTTGCAAGCAGTCCAGCTGGGAGAACTCCATTTCCAGGGTTCCAGCACATCGTGTGCAAGGCAGCTTTGCTGCTGCTGCTGTGTTCTCGCTGACAATGCCAGATTGTCACCTTATTTCCAAAGCACACTGGTGCTGAATCCCAGCTGACTCCTAAACCCAGTATCAATGAGAGTGATTGGCCTCCTAGCAGCTTACTGCATACTTGATGTGGCAAGGACCTTAAGTTTGGACAGTGGAGCACTGCTTGCTTTCCGTGGCGTGGGTATCTGTGTCTGCCTTTGCTCATGTACTGTGTAAAAAGAGGCTACTACAAGACGTTAGAGCAATTTAGAATGCACTTGCAAAGTACTTGGAAAACTGAAAGCCCTTTAAATACTCCTTACTCCTACTAGAGGAGGTAGCTTATACCTCCTTTGCTAATCTCCTGTCCTTCATACACAGGAGAGTGAGAGGATAATATTTGACCATGTCAACTAGGGAAAGATTTAAGTAAGGAAAGCAGCAAGATGGGTATCTACAGCTCAGGATCCTTGAGGATTTCGCTCCTGACATTTTGCCACATCAAATTTCAGCGTCTAAACAGCAATGGAACTGGACCTTTAAGGTCCCTTCCAGCCCAAACTGTTCTATGATTCTATGAAAGCATTTTGTAATACCACATGCTTTGAATATTTTATCACCATTGAACGTGTTTAGCAGCAGTCAGGTCTTAGAGGTGTAAGTTGCACCAAGTTCACCATGCTCTTTCTGATGACTAAAATAGCAGCCAGAGGCATGAACCGTTCTGCTCAGCTGCATCCTGCAATTCCTTGCAAGAAATTGCTGCCCCTTCTTGCCAAGAAGGTGAATATAGCATAGTACTCGATGTATAGCACAGGACTCGATGTACAGCACAGGACTCGATGCCAGACTAATTTTTCCAGGGATCCACACAGCACAAGAACATTTGTAGCTGGCATGGGAGCATCACCCATACCCTGGTGACTGTACTGTAGTGGGTTACAGTGGCTTGAAGGCACATCAAACTGTCCTCTACAAAAGGGGATTTGACCTATGAGTCACTGTCTGAATGAAGCCATGGTCTCCCATGGAAACTACATATATGCTGGTTCTGGGGGCTGCTTTTCTCTGTTTTAGAAAGGCAAGAAACACCCCCTCTTTTTCTTGTTCAGTCGTGCTGCTCTCACCTCAGAAGGTGAGACTTGAAAGACCCCACACTGCTGTTAGTGACAGGAAATCATCGCTATAGAAGGGCCCCATGGAAAACCACAGACAAGGCCCTCTGCTGCCTTACCAACATGCACCTCCTGGCACAGGTCTTCACAAATAGAACCCATGCAAGGAGCTTTGCCTTTTCTACTGCTCCTCTGCAAATGACCCCCACACAGGACAAGCCCAGAGAAACAAGCTGAGACCCTAACCCTAGGAAATGGAGGCGGAAACAAGAACAAATAGAAGGCAAAGGCACTGATGAGCCATATGTGATGGTAAATCAGTTACAGCCACTCTTCAGTTCCTGTCATGCTTGCACAACTAACAGCTGAGGCATGGCAACAGATCCTCATGGGGAAATACTGTCTTACAGGGAGACAAGTCCTCCCTCTGATTTTAGTGATAAAGAATTCGGTCCAGCAAGAATACCCTACGATAGTTTGATTTTTAAATGGTTCAAGAACATTAAAAGCTTCCCTGAAGAGCAGAAATGCTCATTTCCCCAAACTGCAATGCTCATGGACACAGTAAGCACTTGTAGCAAACACCTACCTGGGAGAGAAAACCAAAGCACACAAAACAGGAATGAAAAATATAACCCTCTTCCTGCCTACTTACTTATCCCTGACCCAGGCATTGCTCTTGGTCATTTCTCCAGGGCAGGCTTTTTTTTTCCTGGAGAAGGTGATTTATTCCAGGTCATCAAATATTTTCACCAAGTGTATTATATGGCTTGGACTGCTGACAGGGAAAAACCCACTTTACTGCCCATCTGTAAAATGAACTGGGAGAGAGAAGGGCATTTTGGTTTAGTAAGCTATGCCAGGCCAGGTTTGTGGATTCCGCCTTCAGGAAGTTTCAAAACCAGCTGAAAGCAGTTGCAACATCACAATGAAAGCCTCGTTTTTCAGAGGTGCTGACCATCGAATCATAGAATGGCTTGGGTTGGAAAGCACCTTAAGATCACCTAGTTCCCAAGTCCCTACCATGGGCAGGGATGCCTCGCACTGCTCAGTCGCACATGCTCGTAAATCGGGTTTAACAGCTCCAGAACAGAGCATGGAATAATGAGTAATAATGTCTGTGTTAACATACAGGCAGAACATGCATTAAATGGGTCCGCTATCAATTCTTCCTTGGCTCATGGAATAACATCTAATAACTAAACGTGGCTGTGCTAGCAGGTAAAGATCACAAACCTTTGGTACAAGTCTTACCCAGTGGCTGGGATGACCTGCCTAATGACTGTGATATATTTATATCAATACAATTGTATCAGCAAGAAGAGCCTTTACACCCTTGAAAGAAGGCAAGTTGATGCAATACTGTGTGTGAAACTGCTGCTTTACTTCACATCACATTTCAATACTTGTTCCCCCCCCCCGCCTCATCGCTGGCAGGGGATTTTCCAGAAGCTGGAGGTGAAACCATAACCCTAAAGGAAGGAGAGGACCTGAACCTCCGCTGCACCCTCAGCAGTGACGATGGGTCTGCCCGGCAGTGGTTAAACCCTCATGGGTTTGCCATTTTTCTCAACACCCAGCAGGGTAAGTGTGAAAACCAAGTGCAACTCTTTCCACATGGGGCTGGAGGGTCACTCATAGGGCTTTCCAGCTCCTACCCATGGCCGGTCTGACTCACCTCCTACCCGACACTCTAGATGGTTTTACATTCAGCCCCTTTCTGGCAGGAAGCTGATGAAATGGAAACCCTCACAAGAGTGCTCTGGCACTAGAGCTTTTAGTAATGAACTGTAGTTACCACCAGCACCAAGGCATTAGCACAAAAACACACTTTTACCTTAGAAGAGAGACCGGAATGGACATGCCTGAAAGCCCTGGGTACTCTCCTGCTCATCAGGGAATTTGATGTAGTGCATCGAGAGGAAATGTTTAGGAAACAAGCAGTGATTTCTAAAATTCTCTGAGATAAAGCCAGTTACAATTACTGTGTTCCCTTCCACTCCCTACACCTTATGTCTCCGTCTGTATCTCTCCTCCTGATGGTCCACAATTAGACACATGACATAACATCCACAAGGACTAGAGTTTGCAAAGCATATGGATCCAAGTCAGACACACTTGAATATATTCTTTTTGCAATACAAAAGAAAACAGTCTTCATTTAGAGAGTGGCCAGACTTTACACTGTGCATGGATGTTTTTGTTCTGAATTACCACCGTGGATGCAGGTCACATTGCTTCTCCAATAAACCACTTCACAAATCAGTTCCCTTCAGTCTTATTGTAGCTAAAATATTACCAGCTACCTACAAGCCTTAGGGTGATATCAAAATCCTTTCATATTTAATCACTTCCATAAATTACAACACTGTTGGGATTTTCTCCCGACTCCACATTTTTACAAGACCCCAGCTTTAGAGTAAAAAGAGAGCTTTTGAGGTCTTTTTCTCCCCAAGGGTTGGTGCACAACCCCAGTTTCAGTTCAATTTAAGGGCAGAAAGTTACACTTTCTGTGCTGTGATTGTGGGAAAAGTCCATGTGACTTCACGCCTGAGGACTCCCATGGGACATCCATGAAGCAAAACTAGAAGTTGAGAGAAAGGGGGTTGTACAGCAGAGTACAAACACCCTTATTAAAATCAAGGTAATCAGACAAATATAAGGGAAGCAAACCAGCCAATTATTAAGCAGTTAATAAAGAGGTGTGTGCTGACCACAGTGTTCACTTATACATCGCAAAATGCACCCAAAGAGGGAAGTGATTTTTTTCAAGGCCAAATAAAGGCTTGGAGAATGAGGAAGGGAAAGCTCCTCAGTTCATGTATCTATGCTATATATTCAAAGGTCATACTAGTTTTCTGATCACACATCATGTCCTCACCCCACAATGGTTGCTTATATTTACCCAAATTGCTTTGGATTAAGATCGCCCTGAAAATAAAAGCAAGAAAGAGGATGGCATATTCCTGTCTGGCATCACACCCCCTCCTTTCTTCGGTTTCCTGCTGCCTATGTGCTAGTGCAGCACCAGCAAGGAGTGCTCCATGCTGGAACTGCTCCTCTATGTCAAATGCCGATGGGTTAAAAAAATGCCAAACAGAAAATGGTCCCCCTTCATTAATGTTTTGATTATCTGTCTTCCTCTTCTGTTCATACACACATAGCATGCTGGCTTTTATTTTCTTTACAGCTTTAAGAGATCAGAGACACAAACTTATCCATTATTCAAAAGATGAATTATCCATCCAACTGACTAACGTAACAGTGCGTGATGAAGGTGTATATAAATGCTTCTACTATGGCATCCCCTTCAAAAGCAAGAACAAGACTGTTAAGGTATTAGGTAAGATCTTTCACCCACTTTGTCTCAGCTTCTCAACTCCAGACCTGCTTTTTGGCATGCAATTGCATGATGCTTTACACAGCATAATCCTGGTCTTAACTCAGTCCCATGCCGTCCCGTCCCCCCCCCCAGCAATGCTATGTGCAGCCAGTCATAAAACCCAGTAGAAAGACGCTCTATAACCGACTCAAAATCTTATTGTTGCAGCTGCTCCTTCTAACCCAGTACTGGAAGTATCCAGAGGCACAGAAAGAAGCGTTATACTGTCTTGCTATACCCAAGGATGTAAACCACAGGCCCAGATTACCTGGCTGTTGGACAATGGGATAGAACTCCCTGGTAAGCATTAAAGGACAAGGGGCTTATTACTAACAACTCCTTCTTATCAGTCTTGGGCTTGAGGGTAGAACACCTTCTGGGACCATCACTCACTAACTGAGTATAACCTGGCCCCACGATGCAGGCTGGGAGAAAACCCAGCACTGGATTCTAGAGTTTGTGCAAGGGAGAGGGCTCATCTGCTTTGCTCACACTCGGTGCAGAGCAGTAACACTTGGCACCAAAACCCCTTGACGGTCAGGAGTCATATTCCAGTGGAATAAAGTGAAACCCAAACTCTGGAGGCACAATTTCCAAAGCCCGGATATAAAGTCAGTTAACAAACCCATTTTAACTGTTTCCGCGCTGTAAGCATGCTTTCCATGTTGTAAGCTACTTCATTGAGCAGCTCACACACACACCCCATCAGCCTCTCTCACATTAACCTGCTCCAAGCCACTAGCAGGCACAGGAAGAGAGCTCAGGAAACAAGAGCCCACACCACCCTGCAACACTGCCCCAGTGAGAGGTCTGCACGCATCTGGGTGGACACATGCGAGGAAGTACAAAGCCACCACGTAGCTCAAATTAACTCATGTGCCATATAAATAGCTGCTCCAAAGGCCATGTTCTAGTAATAGCTACCTTATTAGCTACCTGTAGCAGAGCAGAGAGGAAATGCACATCTGTATCAAAGCACGAGGAAAATACCCATAAATGCAAACTCTTTTCTTTCACATAGTAACCAGCTCTTAATGGTATTTTGCATCATCAAGCAACATATTCAAAGCTTAACCTATATTCTCCCACACCCCCAGACAGCTTGTTTTAACTAAGAACTCTAGAAAACAGCAGAGAAGTGTGTTGGCTTCAATATAGCTAGAAATCAAGACTAAGGAATAATTCCAGATGCACAGGCATTAATGCAACCATATGCAGCCCTATGCTTAAAGATACTGTATTAAGGGGAAGCAGTGCAGCTGGTAAGTGAACCACACAAAAGCCAGGGCAGAAAGCTATCTGTGGTGGCAGGGAAAAGATGCTCTGGAGCAGTATATGGGGCTTGAAAAAGCAAGTTCTAAAATCCTGCATGTGTTTGGGAAGAGCTGGGCTGCATGATACTAAGGTCTTGGGGGAACACCAGCTATGAAGTTATGAAGAGCCCAGGGAAGCAATATGTCACCTCTAAGGTTTTTACATGCATTTTTGCCAGAGTTCTTCTAAAAACAGGAGGTTTCCTTAGACTTGAAAGCCCCTCAGTTCTGGCCTGGCAAAGTGTGTTATTTGTAAGACCACAACTCAGACACAAGACACCTCCCAGAACACATAAAGCCAACCATGCTTTTCTCCACTTCTATTAACAAAAACCTACACTTACCTTTATCTTCGCCTTGCCTTGTAACACTAAGCCAGTCAACTGTTGCAGCAAACCATACCAGTGGGAACTACCCATCCTAAATCACTGCTTCTCAGACTTTCTGTGGGTACCTTTCCTTTTTGAGGATGACTGAGTACCACCCCTTCCTTCCCTTTCACAGCTTTAATCACTTACTGCAAATATTTATATTAGTCACTAAATAGCTAATACACCTTAATTACTGGCAGCTTCTCTGTTCCACCAGGGCACAGCAGGGGCAACCCAGCTGTAATTACTGAGCAGTTGCTCTCAAAGATTCTTTCCTTCCTAACAAAACCACTTTGGAATCCTTTTGAGCTCTTACGTGACCCTGCTGGGGATGGGGAAAAGAGTTGGGAAGTACCAGGTTATGTGATACAGCAAATGACCTGTCAAGGCTAAGTTGGAAACAAGGAATTTCTTCCATTTATAAAGTTAGGGTTACCAATAAAGTTATCTATTACCAAGGGTAATAGATGAGGAGAAATCATCAGTTTGTTTCCAGAGATCCTCTGTGTTATGTACAGAAAAACTCCCAGGCAATTTATCTTTGCGTTGGTCAATATGCACAAATATTGCCCAACTGCTTTTTATGTTTGGGGTGACAAATGCACAGCTCTTAAGACACATATTTAATGCTAGCAGAGCCAGAACTTTGCTAGATCTGAGTCATGCTGGAAAACAACAGGTCCTTGCTCTGAGGCTCCTCACAGGCCATCCATGGCTGTGGCACACAGCAGAGCCATTCATCCCATCCAAGAAGGGCCAGAAGTTGGTGTTTGGTGTCTGGACATTGCAGTGCAGGTGAATTTCCCCACATTAGTTATGAAACCCAGCAGAGGCAGTGAGGTCTGCACTTAAACAGTGATGAGGCAAAAACCGTGACCTTGCTGCCTTTGGGCTCCCATGTAATCCATTTACACGGTGAACCACTTGTGCCCAGTAATCAGGTGCTGCTTTAGCACAGCAAAGTAATGCAGATTGTGCCTGGAAGGTTTTTCTTTCAATTACTCTTGACTAGAAAGCACTTAAATGTTTTCTTCCAATGGGTATATAGGTGACACTAAGCACAAGTTAGAAGCTGATGGGAAGAAATGGACCACAACCGGCACACTGAGAGTCCTTGCCTATGGGCCCAATTCAACAGCCAGCTGCATCATTCACCACCAAGCACTCAGAGAAGAGAAGCTGATGGCATCTTTCCAGTTTGAGGACCTTGCTAGGACAGGTACTGCAGGCTCCTTCAGGAGTCCTTATCCCATTTTCCCACTCTGAGGTGGTGAAAGTTATGCAGATTCACATGCAAAGCTGAAGCCCATAGTCTACTGCCCATGTGTGGAATCTATTTTTACATTGAAGCAAAAGAATTCCAAACTAAGATCTGGGGGCTTTAACTACCACAGAGGGTAAATGATGTAAATTAACAGTAACTGAAGCTGCTTGTCTAATAATTCTCAGACTAGAGTTTACTTTCTGCCTGTTTACTCATCTTTAGGATGGATCTTATTATTCTTACTCCCTTCTTCCTTAGATTGCTTCATTCCACAAGTACTTATAAAGTGCTCTGAAAGTTGTGCTTTCGTTGGGTTTTTTCAGTGGCAAAAACAAATCCTGCACCATCTAACCCAGAGGTGGATACACGTGTCTCTGAGAATGAGCAAACTACAGGTAGGCTTTGGCTGCCTGGCCTCTTCTTAATTCATGCCCAGGTCTTCCATCATTTCATAGTGTTAAATACAGTCAGAGGACAGGGAAGCTGAAGGTGGAAGGGTAGGACTGGGAGTCTAACCAATGGAGAACCCAAACAGCCCAGAGCACAGAGCATACAGGGCAGGTTTCATTTTTGTCACGGTTTAAGCATCAATTTGTCGTGGTTTCAAGCATCATTCAGTGGCAAAGTGTGTCTTCTGAGATTTGTCTTGTGTTTGGGTAAGTTCCTTTAGGAGCCGAACAACCAACCATCTCTTCTGCAGAACCAGAGGATCCACTAGTTCCCAGCTCAGCAGCAACACCAACCCAGCAAACCCTCCAACCAGACATCACATCTACTTGTAAGTTTGCTCTTAGTTACGTCAAGTTACCAAAGCAGGACAGAAATGCTACCAAGAACAGCGTTACATTCATCATTACAAGCAAGCACATAACATCAACCGCAGCATTTCTTGCTTGTGCGAGGAGAACTGAGGTTTATGAAAGCAAAATCTCTGCTGCTAGATGCAGAGCAGCGGCAGGAGCCAAATGGGCCACTCTTGCAGCATGGTGTGAGGCCAGGCTGGGATTTCTCTTTCTCTGGACGGCTGCACTAGATGGCACTGTGCAGCAACGGTTCGGGTTGCAGTCAGTGAACTGTTGAGTTGTTGCCAGCCGAAGAATTAAGAGCTCCACTGCTCAAATAACTTGTCCAAAACCCACCAAGGTGGGCACCTTGTGTGACAGGCCCTGCAGAGAAAATCAATTGGTTGCGTTAGAATTGCTCATAGCTGTTTAAAAGTGCTACATCTGTGATTACAAGCACTAGAGAATGGCTACAATCTGATAAACAGATCATATACTTATTGATAAACATGCTTAGAAAGGGAGGTTGAATGCTTCAACAGGTCTTGAGAAGGAAGAAAATCTCTTATGATTGTAAAGTTTTGGTAGACACAGCCCACGTTATCACTTTAGGTTTACAAATCAAGTTCAATTACCCAAGGATGTGTTGTCATCGTGTGTGTAAGGAAGGCAGAGCTCACCTCTGTGTTTGTGCAGGGTCTGAGGTTACACCATCTGCAGCAGGAAAGGAAGAATTGGCTGGTTCATCGAGTTTTCATGTCCCCAGAGGTATGACTTCACATCATCAGGCATGGGTGGTGGTGGCAAAGGATGGGGTGACTGCACCACTGGGAGCTATGAAGTCAGTAAAAGAGTAGTCAGGGATATGAATACCAAAAACCAATTTAAATCTACTTTAAGGCAAAGGATACAAGCTCATTCCTGGTTTTGCAAGCAAGAGAACAAACTGATGGGCAGGGAAACCCCCACAAATGACCACAGTCAGAGCTCAGCTTTGTTTTACTTTGGCTGTAAATGGAAACCATTGAGTTCAGCAATGTGTGAGACACTGAGGATTTTCTGTTCATAAAGCTTAGGTGGTCTTCAGATGAAAACAAAACACAGTAGTAAGGAAGTGAGCACAGAGCTTTGAGACAGAGACTCTAGAAGTCCCTTTCTGTCGCAGTACCAGATGCCCTGGGCTTCAAAGCTCTTAGGAAAATATGTATTTCTTAAGCATCCCTTTGCCTTTCAGAGAAATACTGTTCTCCTTTCTATTCCCCCAGGCACTGAAACAGCAGTCAGTGGCAATGTCACAGAAGAGGAAGTTTCCAGGACAGAAACCCCACTACCAAGTGGAAATGTAACTGTGATTTCCACAATCCCCTCTGGTATGAACTCTTAATGATAGCTCCCAAACATGCAATGAGCTGTCTTACACCAACCTGGTTCTCTCTGACTATGTACCACCAAACCTTTTGTCAATACACTAGGGTAATGCTGGCTTGCAATCCTGGGGAGAGACCCCAGAAACATAACTATTTTTATCAGCTAGAAAAAGCGTGAACCCACTTATTTCAATCAAGTTTTCTTATTCATACAAGAAGAAATAATTCGTCTCACATCCTAAAACTTAAATCCAATAAGGGGACTTCTGCTCTCGCACCATGTTCATCTGGCCTGGTCCAGGATATAACTTATCTTAATTACCAGAGACTCACAGGAAGCTATTTAACAACACAAATACCTTCCTCTCCTACAGACAAAGACGTGAAATCTGAAGGCATGGAAAAGAAAGAGAAAAATCTCTTGCTGCCCATCTTGGTGGCTGCTCTGATTTTTGTGCTTCTCATCATTGTCCTGCTTTTTGCAAGGAAGCTGAAGAAAGCTCATGGAGTGTGGAAGAGAGGTGGGTGATGGCCCTGTTCAAGCAACTGCTGACGCTGCTTAATTCAGCAGGGCTGGAGAGCTGAGGAGACTGTCACAGCTCCTCCAACCGCTGCTTAGATGTCCTTCTCCCATAGACAGTGGCCATAAATTAGACAGTGACCATGACTTACTGCAAACAACTGTTGAAGAGTCCCTGTAACTGGTGGTCTCAGGCCACTGACGTAAGGTGTCACAAAAAAACCTATGAAATTGTTGCCTTCAGTATGTTTCTTAGGTGGTCAACATGATAAAATCCCTATTTTTATAACCAGTCTCTCAGGTTCTCTATGCTCAATGCAGACAGCGAGCGATGGTCATGGGAAAATCTCACCATCTTAATTACATCTGTTTTCTGTGCAGAAAATGATGTTTCAGACCAGACTCTGGAGAGTTATAAATCCAAATCTAATGAAGACAGTCCAGGCCATGAGAAGAACGGACATGGTAAAGAGCTTTAACCAATGTAAACTAATTCCTGTTAGAGCATTGCTACTGAGCATATATAAGAATACACATGCAAGACATTTAAACCACTTCTAGTACAAAGTAGTGCCTTGAGTATTGTGTAACCTGCAGGAGACCACCTCATGCTTCCCAGTCTTCACTGTGATGGATGCCCTAACAATGTCTAGAGATGCATGTCATCTTTTATTGCTCTGTAACACTAAGTCATATGTATTTCCAGCAGGTACACCATCCCCTCTTTACAAAATCAATAATAAATGTGTGTTTATCTTTCAGCTGTCAATCAGAAGTCCAACATGCAATATGTAACAGCAGGATATGTGGAAACAATGCAGAGGAATCCCAGAGACAGAACCAATGCAATAAGTGAGAAACTGTTTGGATGTGGAAAGGAAACAAATGTATAGCAATAGTAAATCTGTACGATGTGCAGAAACACCAGTGTTTCCTGATCTTCATATTACAGCATTCAAGTACCAATATGACTTCAAGGAGCAGAACTACAAACAGTTACCCTCAACCCAAAAGCTACCTGGGATTGGTTTCCTTTAAACAGTGGGGCAGGTAGATAGGACTGGTGGTCCTAGAAACCTATTAGCAATGAAGACAGTGATTTATCTGTAGTCCTCAAAGGATTTAAATAACCACTGCCAGAAATGAAGCTCCTCAGTCCTTTCTCAGATCCTACCAGCAGTGAGGGTCTTGGCAAAGGAACATGCAGGTATTCCAAGGACTGTAGGGTATGAAGACATTCATGTAATTCTGCAAGCATGGGACTGAGCAGGAAACCCTGGGAGCTGCAGACCCACTGGGACTTGTATTATCTTATTCTCACCCCAAACCTGTACTTAACCAAGGAGGAAAGCATCCTGATGTCCAAAGAGTTAAAAACACCAAGATTGTTCCCCTGTGCCAGAACTCCTGCTTTGGTTTCTCACTTGTGCAACGATAGCATCATTCTGTGCCATGCCAGACTGCATCAGCACTAGTCTGCAAGGAAGGGGCTCTGAAACCAGAACATCTGGGTACTACACTTGTACTCCACATCACCTAAACTTCCAGGGGTGTCACTGAGACTATGGAAGCTTTCAAACGTGGGCTTTCAAACGTGGAGATGATATTACACATGGGACTCCCTCGATCCAGGGACAAAGTCGCTTGCCAGCAGGCAACCTAGGAGAATCAATGAGCCTTTACATCCGCACAGCCCCGCTATGCCATCACCGGGAGCCTTTTCCATGTGGGGAAGATAAAACTGAACTCCTAAAATAAAGAGAATTTACATTACAGCAGGCAGCTGTGTTTATTTTTCCCGCTAGAGATGATTGTTCCTCACTGTAAGCAAGAAGCTGAACACTGGTTTTGGACATGCCCTTGAAGCGGCTGCTATTATATCTGATATAATAAACCTCATATCACTTTAAAGCGGCTTTGTCCTGCAGCTCCCCCCTCCTCCGCCCTCGCTATTGGTGGATGCTGCGCGTCCTCCGGCGTGGCCATGGCAACGGCGAGACGCGACGGGGCGGTCGGCAACGGGCCGCGCTTAGGGACAGCGCCCTCGGGCAGAGCTGAGCCCTATAAGGGTAATGGGACTGGGGAGATGGGTATTAGGGTGAGGGAACTTGGGGGAACAAGGCCTCGGGGGGGGGGGGGGGGGGTGGTGCTGCAGGCCTGCCTTCAGGCTGGAGAGAGCACCAGGGGGAGGGCTCAGGACAGGCTGTGGATGCTGCTCGCTGAAAGGTGGTTCAAACAGAAGGTTCTTTGCTGGTGCTGGGCTTTCCTCTTCGGGCTGCAGAGTGTGTGCCACCTCCCATCTGTGATCCATGATGGGAGCAGTGGGTACAGGGTGTCCACCCAGATGTAAAAGGCCTCCGGAGGGTAAACTGGTGTGATAAACACCCTGAAAAGTTAGAAATCATATTCTGCATTTCCATATCTTAACAGTTGCCCATGTACTAAAGCAAAGCTCACCCTGTAGCTTTGAAGGGATGGGTCCCATCCGTGTACATCCCACTGTATTCACTGAAACCAACTAGTGTATATTTCCTCTCAAATCACTGCCACTCACTGGGGCAGTGTCACACACGCGTTCCCACTCGGTGTCTTCTAAGTGTCAGGAGGGGCAGACAACTTGGGAACATCTAAATGCAACCAAATGAAAAGAAGCCATCTTCCTAATTTAAGAAGAAAATGCGGTTTTGCTGTCACACACTTCCTTGCTGATAGCTTTCATGTCAGAGATGGTGTAAAGTCGAATAAGAACATGTAAAATGCCTTTTGCCTCTATTTTTCAACTAAAATTGTGTTGTTTTGCTTTCTTTTTTCATAAGCTATTTATACTCAATTAGCTTTGTTACCACTAATAGTTTAAGGCAGATTTTATAGCAAGAGGTGATGCATTTGCTGTATAGGGTCCTTGTTATTAACTTAGAGCAACAAATAAGAGTCTCCTTTCTGCCTTCCAGAGCACCCAGCAGGCTTTGTCAGACTTTGCCAAGAAAGAAATCAAGAACCAGCACCAACACATCCTCTTTTCTTTCCATATAGAAAGACCCGTGCTGAGCAAACTGAGCCACTTCCTCTTAGGCAAAAATTGGTGGGTTGCACAAGTGCATTTTGTCCTTATAGCTGTGTAAATCTAAAATGAACATTTCCAGGGCTACTGTCACCTTTAAACATTGTTTAGAAAACGCTCACTCGGTACATCAAATAAAATGCAATTTGCAGTCCTATGCATAAAATGTTTAACACTGAATAAATTGGGAATAATTCTCAAGTTTAAAGGGGTTAAATTAAACCCGAAGTAATAATGATGCGCAGTTTCAATTTAATTGTCTACTTAAAATAAAATGGCAAACAAATGAAGGCTAAATGATTAATAGCATGCTTTTATTCACCTCCTCAACAGGCAAAATGGCCAGTTATTGAATATTTTATTGTGAGTGCAAATGATGTTAATTGTGCTAGAAAGATGCTCTAATTTTTAGTAATTTTTTTGACTGAATACTATGCTGAATGTGAGGCTCTTCATTAAATGGAAATTTGATTTTATTTTGTTTGAACTTAGCCTAGTAAGTACTCAAATACAGTCCATTAACTGGAGCAAATATCACAGCATATACATATGAAACCCCCTCTCTACATCCATTACTAACCTCGGAATTTGAAGAGGAACCGCTGCATCTGTTGTCTACATACAACACTTTTGTTCATGAGTACAGAGTCCATCTAACCTTTATATCAACTTGAGGGGAGGAATAAAAGGTGCACTTTTTGTGTGCAGATGATTAGAGATGAAGGAGCTCTTCACACTCGTTTTGTTCCTGTGCGGTGACCTGGCCTGCATAATACAATTGAGCTGCTGTGCACACATTTCGGCACAATAGAACTCTTTAGCATTATACTGTTACTTGAATCATTGCAATTATATCACATACTTCTGTACTCATTTCAAAATATGCTCACCTATTTCTCTTTACCTGTGGTGTATGACAACTAGGAATGTTTTCACCAGTGTAAACCATCCAATCTCCAGTTCAGAGTATACCACAGCGCTAATGCTTGCCTGAAATGAAAAGCATTGCTAGAGAAACAGATTGTTGTATTATTAGAAGCCACTTGAAATATGGGCATAAGCATGTAACTAATTCAGAAAGGATGAATTAATGATTTATGGAAATGTGAGCATCATTAACTATGCCACGGTTTGGAAAATCCAGCAGGTCAGGACATTTCTTTTAACAGGGTCTAAAAGAGTCAACCAGGTTTCAGTGCCTATAAACATCACTCTGAAGGGCTCACCATTCGTCAGTGCCCAAGAAACCAGGGCTACACAGCAGGTCCAGTTAAGGAAAAAACAGTGTTAGAAGCTCTTTTCCTCCCATGCTCCTTACTCCTGCCACTGCCTGCACATCTTCTGGAAGCCAATTTGTATGGATATTTATCTCAATTACAGCCTGCTTTTAAATGAGAAGTTACTTTAAGTCTTTCATAGGGAGTTTTCTTATTGAAACATAGTGATGTTTTATAGGAGTCAGAATAGAATAAAAACCTGGAGCTGGAGGCTGTTGCTGCTTAGAAAGTCTCAAACTGACATTGGACAGAGGGATTTCATCAGGAATATATCACTTTTCTAAATAATAAGTAATAATAATCTTATAAGTAATAAATAATAGATCATAAATATCACTTTTATTTCACACAGCAGAGCCCTTGAAGAATGAGCAACAGATACTCATTCTTTTGAAGGCTACATCATTTTAAAGGAAATATCAGAAGCAGCACAATGTCATTTCATCTTTTAGCTGATTCTCTAATTTATTTGTGCTGAATTTAGGATAAAGATTGTATTCTACTGTGATGTGAATGTTGGGCCAATTTATCATTCACTGACACTGAAAATCCAAACTGAAGAGGAGGTCCTACCTAGTTTTCTGCTGAAGAATTTTTGGATAGAACTGTTCTAACCTCCTCCCAGAACCTACCATGCTGTATGCACTGACAGAATTCATCTGACCATATTTGCAGGACATTTGTTGGCTCAAATTGCACCCTGAAATAATATAGAATTGATAACAATCTATACATAAATAAATCTGTGCTTCTTTTTTACATAGGAAGCAGCAGTATGTGGACACATGTTTCAGCCCAATTCTAATTGGAAGAACACAAAGGATGTAGCAGAGTTTTCTGAGCTACGTCACATTGTTGAAGGAATCAGTATGGACTTTACACAAGATCCATTTTACCTCCATTCCAATGGGTCTGCAGAAGAAAAGAATCAACAGGAGGTGAAGTCACAGGGTTCGTTGTTAGAATTTGATACAAAACTACTAAGCTTTCATGAGCCAAATGCTGTGGTCAGCAACGAACCCTTGAGGCTACATGCCAAAGGGAAGGAACCTGCAGAAAACCATCATTGCGAAGGTAGTTCCAGGATACATGGAGGTGCTTTTCCTCCTCGGATTCAAGAAGATCGACCACAAAAAGCGAAAAAAGACTTTGTGGCAAGAAACAAACGGACTTTAGGATTACGTTCAGAGATTGATTCCTACCTTCAGTTACACACCAGAAGGCAAGAAGTTCTTCAAAAGCAGGTAGGTAACTTTTACATGGTTTATAATTGGTATAAACAGAGGACTGTCTAGTGTAAAGGAGAATAGCTGCATGATCAGGTTTATAGGGGAATTAAGTAGATTCACAACCTATCGTGCAACTCATAACTTACGACTTCCAGTGAGGCTCTTGCTTATCCTGAGTGGAATAATTGACAAATCCTCGGTTACTCACGACGCCAGTGATGGCCTTGGTACAAGCCTGCTTAAGATACATATATTCTTGACCATGAAGCATGTTGCAGAGGCGATCTGTCACTACTTTTTAATCTTGATATTAGAGAAATCGTAGAATAGCAGAATCATAGGATGGTTAGGGTTGCAGTAGGAAACCTTGATGTCTCCATTTGGCTTAAGAAGCTCTTTCCACCCACATTGATCATAACAAAGAAGTGTATGTGACGTTACAGATGAGTTTAAGAACCAGAAAACTCTCTGGTCACACTGCTTTCAAAGGCTATGCACATTCTTGCTTATCACTGTCATTTAGGATCACATACGCAGGAATATTCAATATGTGTTGGATTTGGGTGGTCAGACAACCCCTTACTTGCTTTCTCAGCCAAGCCAAGCCTTATATTTGAAATCAGTCAGCAGGTACAAGTCATGTACAGTACTTAGACTTGAAGAGCCTAGCTTTCTTATGATTGACTGCAAAATGTCAGACAACTTCTATTAAGGATTAAGTGGAAATGTAATTACAGTTCCTAATGAACGATTATACATGAGTTTGTTGCTTTTACTTGCTACTTATTATGCATAATGGGAAGGTGGGAGTCACTGAATCACTCCACGAGTTAGTTGTAGCATATCTTAGCTTGCAAAACTACAGAGACTTCCTGCTTCAAGTGACACTGCTGCTTTCCAAGGCTAATGAA